TTAGGAAAGCATGCACCCTATAATCCTATATGTTTGTTGTTTACTTAAATGAATTGAAGTGACAGATTCAAAGGAATTAAGAATATTGTGATGAACTAGTAGTAGTAATAGTAGTAACTTAAATGAATTGAAGTGACAGATTCAAAGGAATTAAGAATATTGTGATGAACTAGTAGTAGTAATAGTAGTAATAGTAGTAGTAGTAGTAATAATAATAATAATAATAATAATAATAATAATAATAATAATAATAATAATAATAATAATAATAATAATAATAGTAATAATAATAATAGTAATAATAATAATAGTAATAATAATAATAGTAATAATAATAATAGTAATAATAATAATAGTAATAATAGTAATAGTAAGAATAATAATAATAATAATAATAATAATAATAATAATAATAATAATAATAATAATAATAACAACAATAATAAAAATAATAATAATAACAACAATAACAATAATAATAAAAATAATAATAATAATAATAATAATAATATTATTATTATTATTATTATTATTATTATTACTAGTAATTCACCCACGCGATGCACGGGAAAAAATTATGTTATTATAAATATAAATAAAAAATTAAAAAACTAAAATATTTTAAATTTTTTAATATAATAATATTTTTGAGCTTCCATCGGTCAAGTATTTATTGTTTTTATAGAATACAAAGTTACAATTAAAATTAAAATTAAAATTTTGTATGGTTAATATAATCTCTAATTATGTTCATATTCAAATAAACTTATAAAAAGACTAGGACTATGTGGTCTAATGGTACCCGGGTTGGACTTCTTTTTGGAAGGTTGTAAGTTCGAGCCTCTGTGGAGGCGTTATTAGTTCTTTGTGTTTCAGTAGGTTGAAAAAGTATATGAACAGATACTACAATGTAATAGAGCTAGTAGCATTAAAAAAAAAATAATAATAAACTTATAAAGAGAATTTACATAATTACATTGATTTATTCTTAATTGTATTGCATCTATATTATAATTTTCACAATACCAATAATAACTAAGATAATTACATTTGGAAAGCAAATTTCAAATTTTGTATGAGTAAATTTAAAATCTAATTGAACACATTTTTTATATGATTATATATATAGCTATTTTATTTTTCAAAGTACATTTTTTATATGATTATATAATATATAGCTATTTTATTTTTCAAATGTTGTTTTTTTTTTTTAATAATAAAGGATGTTGTGGCATTAATTGTAACATTAATTACTTCCCAAACCATATGACTTTATTATAGTTAAGATTAGAGAAAATTGCATATTTAGTCCCTGATTTATAACCAAGTTCCAATTCAGTCCCCAAGTTATGGTCATATCCGAGTTTAGGCCCTTAGTTATGAGCGAAGTGGTGAGTTTGGTCCCTAGCGTTAATATTCCGTCTGCAGCTAACGAAAAACTTGAAAACAATTTAATAATAGATGGGTAAAATAGGAATTTCAAATTATAATCCCCTTCTTAAAACTCATTGCACAATAGCTATCCTTTTCTTATTATACCTACAATCGAAGGTCTTTTTCTTCCCCAAGCTCTGAAATCTCAAATTTGTCCACTTTCAAGCTGCCAAATTCACTGGTAAGTTGTTTTTCTATTTTATATGTTTAAATAAATAATTAATATTCTCCGTATTGATGAACTAATTTAGTCATTAATTATAGGATGTCATCTCTTAGTTGTGGTAATTCATCTTTTCCTCATTTTGGGGATAATTTTCGATGTAGATGTGATGATTTATTACCCATCAAAATGTCATGGAGTTATGCTAATCGAGGAAAAATATACCAAGCTTCAAAGCTTGTCCATGTTATGGAGCAAATTTTTGTATATGTCAAAAAACTGTAATTTAAGTTATTTTTTTATAAATAGAATTGAAATATTGAAATTTGATATTTTTTAAAAAAAAAAAAAAGAAAAACGAGAGTATGGTTTCTTCGTTGATTACATAAGCAACTTAGGGCTTTTGTCGATTTGGGGGAAAATATTTTGGCTAAGTTTACAAGTTTTATTAAGGAATTTACTTTTTTATCCCTGATCCATGCAATAATGATTGGTATTTATTAGGATAGTATGTTGTCCAATATTTCATCAAACTGCAATGCTTTATTATTTTAACTTGATGAAAGATTTAATACTCTCATTTAATATTACTCATTAATTGTTAATTATTAATTTTATCATGCATTTTATTTTTGTAAGACAATTATCAAAAAAGCTTTCACTTTTTGTTTTTAATATATAGGGTCTGGTTCTAGTGCGGATGATTCCTCTCATGCAGACAGATCGGGACTATTGGATGAACTTAGATCAATAACTGAAATCAATAAAAAAAAAAAAAGAGAGGGGGGAAACGCGATGACATTTTGATAATTTCAATGATATGCTGGTGCATTTAAATATGCTTGATGGTGCTTTGAATCCAATGCACCATCAAGCATTCACATGTGCACCACAACTGTCCAAAAATCAATACTTAGTGCAACATAGAAAAACATTTGTTGGTGTACCACAAACTAACCCGTAGTGCACCACATGCCACAATCAAGTGCACTACAGACCACCACTTAGTGAAACACAAAAGCATACTTGGTGCAGAAAATTATCCAATGTCACTGCATTTTTTTCAATTTATTGCTTTACGACCATTGATATGGGATCATCTAACGATCTAGATGTGTTCGCACGGGAGGAGGTTGTCGTGCACGCGCGCGCATACACACACATATATAATATGTACCATTTTTGAAAATTGAGGGACAACATTTACACCATTAATAATTGAGGGGTGACATTGATAATTGACATATTATGAAAGGTCATAAATTACATTTTTCCATATATATATATATATATATATATATATATATATATATATATATATATATATATATATAATTATTACGGAGTATAACTTTTGTTGTGTAGTAGGATAAGCTAGGGAGTGCATTCAAAATCTCAAATAATGATGCGCTCAAGTTTGTTTGCACACTGAGAGGGCAAATTATACTCTGGAAACGTGTTCACCATGAATGGTGAACACGGTTTAAACGGTGTTGTTTTTACAGGAAAAAAAATTTACTAATGTGGTGTTAACGGCGCCGCGTTTGGTCAGATTATGAATTTTCTGTTATGAGATTATAAATGTGCTGTAAATTCATAATCTCATAACAAAAAATTCATAATTACATAAAAAAAAACATTTATTAAATTATGAATTTTCTGTTATGAGATTATGAATTTACAGCTATGTAATTATAGATTTTCTGTAAATTCATAATCTCATAACAGAAAATTCATAATTTCATAACAGAAAATTCATAATCGCATAAAAGAAAAACATTTATTAAATTATGAATTTTCTATTATGAGATTATGAATTTACTGTAAATTCATAATCTCATAA